TGGTGCGGGTACGTTGGGGGGGGGGGGAGCCACTGCCTCCCGCAACAATTTGCAGGCCGTGGCATCTCTGGCCCTGCATGGCCTGCACCCCCAGGACTCCGCCTACTATTTCTGTGCCATTGCCACAGTGACAGGAAATCCGGCTGCGCCCTTACGCAAACCTCCTGCCGGTGGCCCTGGCCCAGAGTGTGGGAGCTGGCGGCGAGGGGAGTGCCACGCAGGTTTGGGGCCATGGCTGCTCACCATGCGGCAATGGCACAGGTGCGGCAAGTGGGACCTTTCCCCACACCACCCCTTTCTTGCACCACTGATAGAAGGGCAGGCTTCAGCTCTAACACGGGCGTTTCCTGTAGCTTGTCCCCATTCCATGCTCCCCCCCCCGCCCCATGTTTTCTTTGTGCTTGTTGCAGTGAATCCCTGTGAGAACAGCCCTGCTGTGTTTTCAGGTGTGATTTGGGGCTGCTTCCACTTCTTCCACTCCTCCCTTCCCCCATTTTGCATCCATGCTTGTCTCAGTCCCGCCCTGCTTTGAGGAAGGGACTGGGCTGTGCTGAGGAGGGACCTTGGCTGGGCACAGGTCACAGTGGTACAGATGGGGTGGGAAATGTGGGTGGAGCAGCATAGCAGGCAGAGCTGAGCTGGAGAGAGGCAAAGTGGTGCAGGCATGATCATGTGGGTTGCCACATGCACGGGCTTATTGCCCTGCCTAGAGAAGCGTGATGGGTGGCCCTGGCACCCTGGGAACTGAGCGTGCCCTGTGCCCTGCTTGGCCCCGTGGAGCTGTGCTGAGTCCTCGCAGCCCTGCTGGCCTGACCCTCATGTGTCCCTGCAGAGCACATTGGGAAGAGCCTTGTTCCACTTCCAGCTGCCGATGAGGCATCTCAGTGCAGCTTATGGCCTCTGTAGCATGGCAACAGGCAGAGCACTGGGGAACCTCCCAAGGCTGCTATACCTGCACCTCCGGGCTCCTTGCTTTGCGCTGGGCCCAGCAGTTTCCCCTCCGGGCACTGCAGTCAGTCCTGCGAGGACAAGGGCAAAGACGAGGGCGTAGGATGAGGAGCTCCGTGAGTGGGCCCCATGTGATGGTGAGGGAGGCACCTTGCAGCACAGAACGAGGGGAGGCAGTCTGTTCTGGTACCGGCACATTACATCTTTGCTCTTTTGCTTCTCCTCCTCCAAGCCTCCAGGGATGACTGTTGCAGTGGGCGATCACCAAGCTAGAGCTGTGCTTTCTACTGACTCCCACCACTTGTCCCAAGACAAGCAGGGCCCTGCTCAGGCCAACCTTGCCCCCAGGGGGCAAGGGTTGGACAGGTACTGTCTCTCAGCTTTGTCTGGGAAGGGGAGCAGGCTGAGGTGAGGTGATGCTGGCCTTGCTACATCTCTGCCTGGCCACGTTCCTGGGAGGTGAAGGAGATCCTGGTCCTTGGGAGAGCCCCACAAAGCTCAGAGCCCTTTCTGTGCGCTTACATGCCCACACTAGCTGTGCTTTGCTCCCGCTCCGTGCACTGCTGCTGCTACTGCACAATACTGCAAGAAGACATTGCAGCTCTCAGGGCTGGTCGAGGGGCTGCCTGGAAGAAGCAGAGCAACTACAGAGCTGGGAGAGGAGGGGAGCCCCACGGTACAGCCCTTGAGCAGATCAGCTCTGTTGGCAAGAGGGGACTCGTGGTCCTTCCCTGGTGAGCAGCAGCTCTTGATGCGGGACACTGCAGTTGGAGGGTGGCTGGCAGGAGCCCCTGGGCTTCCTGCTGCTCTCTCCCTGATCCTCTGAGACTGTGTCTGAGTGTCCTTTCAGTGGTGAGGCAAGCGGAGACTGGAGAAGGGCTGAGAGCGTCTGGAGACTCCATGTACCCAACAACAGAGAACTGAAAGGGGGGCAGTATCAGAACTGATTGGGGGGAGGGGAGGTCTTTTCTCTGTGCTGTGCTTCAACCCTGTGGGCAGGGGGCAGGGGAGGCGGCCAGGGCAAGATGGAGGTGCGGACCAGGGGGAGAGTCCTGTGAGAGGAAGCTGTGGGCCGAAAGCCTGCAAGGGGGGGGGG